TTGTGCCACGTGTTGTGTCAAAATGAGTGAAAATACACAACCGAACAAAAAGTTGAATTTAAATATATTATTTTCATTATCATTGCTGTTATTCAATCTTATTTATTAGATTACGATGTAATCTTGCTATTTTGACCAAATTTTGCAATGAATTCATCTTATTCATGTGCGTTTGAAGGCTCTGAAAGGCACCGCAAATTCGAATGTAACCTTCCAGTCTAAAATTCCCGAATGTTTTTTTTCCATGTATACCATAATCAAGAACAAAGACGCTATATTAGTTTTTTTTAAGAACTTTTTACCTATTTTCTGGAAAATGAAAATATCAGTAACTTTATTCGACTAAAACACTCATACGAGCCTTCAGACATATGTAACGAGGCAGTCTTTGTTACATTAGAGGAAATCGAGATCATTTGATGACGGATTTTTTCTTTGTGATCAATCTATAAATGAACGCCACAAATAATTATCACATTTCTATTCGTAGCCACCCCGAAATGATTTATATGGGGTAACTATGGTTTTAATCATTTCATTGATCCTTCATACAGCGAACAGAGCCTTGGAGTAATAAGATGCTCTGCTAGAGGAACTGAATTTCAGCTACAACCTCCAAACACATCGCCAAAATTGGAATCCGGTATCGAATGCAGAAAAAAAAATGCAGAAACCCAAAAACGCAGAAAAAAAATTTGCAGAAAAAAAAATTGCAGAAAGAAAAAATGCAGAAAAAAAAATTGCAGAAACCCAAGAACGCAGAAAGAAAAAATGCAGAAAAAAATTTTGTAGAAAGAAAAAATGCAGAAAAACAAAATGCAGAAAAAAAATTTGCAGAAAAGAAAAAAATGCAGAAAACTAAAAACGCAGAAAAATTGAAAAAATACGATTTTTCGAAAGTTTGTTGACCACAATAGATTTCGTCCGACGCGTGTTTTTTTAATCTGGCACATCAGCCAAATAAGTGCCAGGCGATAGTTTAGGCCGCCCTGAGTTCATAATGGGCCATGGTTTTGGGTAAAGGTGCTTCTGCCGGGAGTTAATGACTATTGGCGTTCCCACATTTCAGGAAGAACGAATTTCTTGATGAAACTTAGTTTTTACACCAGTACTCCGGTATTTATTGGTTTTTACCTATCTATTCAAGAAGTAATTTGTTCAGACGATCACGCAGATTCTGCAGAAGCGATTCTATATTCTCAAAGCTACAATATGTTTCAGAAAATGGGTTGAAATGGGTGAATTTCGTGGAAAATGGTCAAAATTAGTTACTGTATTAACATTTACAACTTTTGAAATGTACGGTTCAACACATGAATGTCAGATTCTAGTTGCTGGCGAGCCGATATTAACCTCATACTTCGTTTTGGTGAGTTGGTGGATTCAGTGGAAACATGATTTTTCTCAAAAAAGAATGGAAGGGTTTTCTATGCCAAAAATGTGATTTTGTATCAATCTTTCAATTGATCGATAGTTTTATGAAGAAATGTCGATTTGAGACCAAATTTGTAGGAAAACCAGTGTTCAAGTGTTCAGGGACCCATTTTTTTTGAGAAAAAATGTTAGTTGTCCAAGACAAAAACATCGTAAGAGGCCGTTTTCGACCACTTTTCTAACACCACTGAAAAAAAAAATTCACTAAATCCACCAACTCATAAAAACGAAGTATGAGGTTAATATCGGCTCACCAGCAACTAGAATCTGACATTCATGTGTTGAACCGTACATTTCAAAAGTTGTAAATGTTAATACAGTAACTAATTTTGACCATTTTCCACGAAATTTACCCATTTCAACCCATTTTCTGAAACATATTGTAGCTTTGAGAGTACAGAATCGCTTCTGCGTGATCGTCTGAACAAATTACTTCTTGAATAGATAGGTAAAAAACCAATAAATACCGGAGTACTGGTGTAAAAACTAAGTTTCATCAAGAAACTCGTTCTTCCTGAAATGTGGGAACGCCTATAGTCGTTAACTCCCGGCAGAAGCACCTTTACACAAAACCATGGCCCATTATGAACTCAGGGCGGCCTAAACTATCGCCTGGCAACTTATTTGGCTGATGTGCCAGATTAAAAAAACACGCGTCGGACGAAATCTATTGTGGTCAACAAACTTTCGAAAAAATCGTATTTTTCCAATTTTTCAGCGTTTTTAGTTTTCTGCATTTTTTTCTTTTCTGCAATTTTTTTTTCTGCATTTTTTCTTTCTGCGTTTTTGGATTTCTGCATTTTGTTTTTCTGCATTTTTTCTTTCTGCAAATTTTTTTTCTGCATTTTTTCTTTCTGCGTTTTTGGGTTTCTGCAATTTTTTTTTCTGCATTTTTTCTTTCTGCAATTTTTTTTTCTGCAAAATTTTTTTCTGCGTTTTTGGGTTTCTGCATTCCATTCGGATACCAAAATTGTAACCTTCCAGTCCAACAAAAAAATGGCTATATCTCAATGGGTGTGAAAGATAAAGAAAAGGTTTGTTGGTACGAAATGTTCGTTTTGTAGCCTAGATTTGTCTCAGTATAAAACTTTAGGTGCTTTCTAGATCAATAGAGGAGATATGAGCATAAATATTTCGGAAAATCGTGCGAATGTAACCTTCCAGTCAGAATTCTTGCTCATATACAATAGGGTTGGCCGATTTTGGTTTTCTGGGGATACATAAAATGGAGTGTCGGCATGACTTAGCTATTGATGAGAGAAGAAAAGTTTGTTCGGTCCCACCTTAAAAAAGTGACTCACGTTTGGCCCGTTGCTAACCGCAAGAACACCTTGAAAATACCTTAAAATTGTTGAATGTCGTTGGGTTTTTGGAATTTTCCATCACTTATAATGAACTTCTAACAAAACCACCGGATTCCTCGTGAAAAATTACGATAAATAGTACTACTTTCAATCAACTTTATTGCGATTTTGTGTCCGATAGAAGCCGAAAATCGCCAAAAATTGCCTTTTTTGGTCAATTTTCCAAATAAATAAGGGTAGTGCATACAAGTAGAGACTATTTATCTGCTTGAAAATGGTCAAATATGAGATAATTATTCAAAAGTATCGCATATCCAGTCATAGAACTATCGCTACACAGTGATTTCACCTTCGAATTTGACGAAATTTTCGAAAAACCGGCAAAAAATTCGACATTTTTAGTAAACTTGTGGTAATAAAAGCTCAATAATTCAATTTTAGGAACGTGTGATGTGCTATTATCGCACAATTTTTGACGAGGAATTGATTTATGAACAAATTTAATCAAAAATAATATGACTTCAGAGTCAAAAAAATTTGATTATTCCAGACCAAAATGAGCAAATGAGGCATATGAGCTTCGGTTTCACAGCTAAATCACCCCATAGAGCAAACAATTTCTACCTTTGCTGACTTGGAACTTCTTGTAGAATCCCTTACGAATATTTTGAGTGCTTACATGACCAAGTCAAATGATGTTTTCAAATAATACTAGCCTCATATTCGATTGGTTCGATTTCAACTCTCAAAAAATCCACTTTTGGTCAATAAATCCCACAAATATGGATATTTTAGAATAAGTGTTTTGGTGAAAAGTTATTTTTTCTCGAAAATATAAGGAGTCTTTTTAGACAAAAACTCTTATAGTTGGTTTTTTGAGGTACCTCCCGAACAAAAGTGACATTTTTTCTGGATTTTGGTATGAAAATACCATTTTTTGTTCGGTATGTACCACAGAAATACACTCTGCAAAACTGAACAAAATTGAGCGTCAGAGATGTTTGGGGAATGTATTTCTGTAGGTAAGTTGGCTAAAATGGAAAAAATGCCCAGAAATGATCACGCCCTATATTTAAAACAATAAGAGTGCCATCTAGAATTTATAGGATCTTCATTTTCCTACATATTCCATCTGTATTCTCTCAAAAACATCGTCTCTGCAACGTGTATGATGTCAGCGAAATCCAAACGACCAAATTGTGCTCGCTGTGTGTGTTTCACCACACTTCAAAAGCCCAAAATGCAAACCACACCGCATTCACCAAAAATACCGATACTAACCATACAAATGCTATGTACAGCGTTTTAATGTTAAAACATGTACTTTTTTTTAAGAAATGAAAACGAGTAATGATCACACCTTTTTTTGAAAATTCGCAACCAAGATGGGGAAATAAGTCCTTTCTCAACATTCAATCTTCTGTCAATATTCAATGCTTTGAGCCCGAGAGGAAAAATGATTTTGATTCCATCAATTGATTTTTGTAGATTAGAATACCTTATTGTCAATTTAAAATTATTAATAAATTTAACTAAAATCAATTGATATAATTGTGTCAATTTTCGCCCAAAAAACAATATTTTTCTGATTTTGATTCCAATTCAAAAATTCGACCAAAAAATTACAGAAAAAAAATCAAGTATGAAAAAAAATATTTTGATGTGCCCTGCTAATTAAAAGAAAAAAACAAAAGAATAACATACCCTTATCAATCAAGCAATAAATAAATAAATATCCTAAAATTGAAGATGTAAAATCAAAATGTAGAAATATGAATGAAGCGGAAGTGTTTGTTTGCGCTGCTAGAGGATCAATTCTTCCATCTTTGTTGTTACCCACAGAAACGTAGTGGTGATTCATTAGCTGAAGTTGCATCTCTTATTCGTTTCATTTTTGTATCCAACATTGGTGATACAATTTTAACTATTTTCGTGATATTTCCAATTCCTACTAAATTTCAACATTTCAAATTGGTCTCCACTGAGAGAACGGACTCTAGAAATTCCATGCAATAAATTGAGTTTTGCTGTTTTACAACATGTGTGCAAGTAGTAGTAGTGAATTTCGCGGCGGGCACACCGGACAAATTATTGAAAAATTGGTTGTATTTTTCGTAACAAGCCTTGTAAAATGTCAACAAAGAATTATTTTCATGGTCTTTCTAGTGTCCATTCTCTATGTGCACCATCGTAAAACTATCGTTTCCCATTATTCGACTTAAAAATTGATGATTAATGAACATTAAAAAACACAAATAAATATCGTTTTCCTCTTTATAGAATTTTTATAATCTCTGAGAAACCTTTACTTTACAATATAAATAATAAATTAATCGTTCCTAATCATTTATAATTGTTTGATGATGCACGTTTTCTGTTCAACTGTCGTTATTTCTGCACTTTTATTTCAATTTGCCATTTAACATCGATTGTTCTCGTAATATCTGCTTTAAATTTCTCTTTTTTATTTCGTGCAATGATCCAATCCACTGTTGATGTTGTATTGTTTTTTTTTATTCTTTATATTAAATATTTTAAGCTGTCGTGCAGGTAATGCATTATTGTTTAATGATTTAGAATCGGAGGCTGGGCTCCATTCACTTGTTTTATATAGTTTTTAATTTTTTCTATTTCATCTGTTAACTGAAGCGCATCCAGGCATCCTTTAAAGTAATCTGTGGTAAAGCACCTCTTCCTATTGTATTATAATTTAAACATATGCAATAAAAATCGTTAATAAAAATGTGAAATATGTGTCTCTTAAAATTGAACGTGTCTGTTGCGGGTTTATCTTTCAAATAAATGTGTATTTGGTATTAAGATGTGTAATTAAGTGGATGACAATAATATTTATTATGACGCTGTTATAACTGTGATTGTTTCCTTTTTAAAAAGAATGTATGTGTTTACAGATCATTTGCTTGTACTTACTTGCAAAGTGTATGCAATTCAGGTTCTCTGAACAATGAATAACAATCCTCACATATTCTATCTAATCGATAAAAAATGGATTTGTTGAAGACTCCCTTACATTCTATTTCGAAAAATGTGCTCCGTTTCGCTAAACTATGTTGTGGTAATGAATTGATCAATGGAACTAATGCTAAAATTAGCGCCACTGATATAGCCAAATTTCGAGAACACATCTAAAATGAATAGAACAAAAAAATTTATTAATTTTGTGGAATCCAAAAATGAAGGTCGAATGAAACGTAACAAACATATAAAATATCAGATCAACAAATAAGTTCATTTGGCTCGGAATAGGATTTTTCTTCTAAAAATTTTCTCTGTCCAAAGTGGATCTTACTTTATTTTCCACAACTTTCTGATATAGCCATATTGCCCTTCAACAAAGTAAGGTTTTAACCCTATGCATACAGTGCAAACAACCGTCTTAAGACGGGCAACATTTAACCGTTTGTACAAAGTAAACCGTATGTCGGATTGCAATGCTTGACTACAACATTATTGGCAAGAGTAGGGTACTGGGGGGTTATTCGTGCCGCGGGGTAATTCGCGCCATCGGCCTTTTCTCGACACAGGCAATACATATACTAATGATCTTGGTGTCATTTGAAAGAGCAAGAAAAACGCAGTATTTGGTTAGTAATTTGACAGCGCTTCATTCAAGTGCAAGCAATCTACAGGCATAAATGTGTTTTGTGCTAGTACTGAGTTCATTTTTGGAGCTCACAGAATTTTAGCTTTGACCATTAAAATTTAATATTTTCAAAAAACGGGTTGATGTATTTTGTAGCTTTTCACCAGCTCTTTCTTATGGATATAAATTTGTTTTGAATATTTTCAATTTTTGTGGCTGAATCGAACTCCGAACAGCAACAAATGGGTCGGGGCAATTCGCGCCACCTCATTTTTGCGTTTTACCGCTAATTGGTCACTCGGAACTCATATCTGTGAATGTGGCAATGTAGATGGACTTTATACTGGTCGATCAAAAGTTCCAGATCTCAAAAATATTATTTTTTGACGAAGTTATGTCCAAAACTGTGATGTGCTTATGGCGTCATCCGAGTCTGCTTTCGCATTTCTTGTGCACGGCATTTCTTGGGTCGGAAGGGGTTGTTGACTGAGTATTTTTATGGCACCATCAATTACCTTTCCAACGGTACCACGGGTTTGACAATGCGTGGACTACTTCTTAGATAAATAAAAATCGGCGCAAAGTCATTTTTTCGAATTTCGTGCCAAAATTTGCCTGTCGACCGATGAAAATAGGTAGTGTCACTTTGGGCGTAATAACTTCGCTTCTAGCGGTCCAAATTTCATGAAACTTTGGCACAACATCAGCGAAGGATGTACTAATCTAACACTAACACTATTTCGGATGATAAACACACTTAAAACACTGAAAATGCGGCCGGCGCGAATTACCCCACCTGCGCGAATTGCCCCGCAGTTTTTGGATTTCGCGCCAAGGGCTATATCGGACCCCAAAGGGGATCAAACCAAAAACATTTCTTCTATAAAAGTTGGTAAATAGACAAGCTACAAAATGATACCAAATATTCCTGAATTTTTTTTCAATTTTCATGGAAATATAAAATTAGGAAAAAAAGTGGCGCTAATTACCCCCCAGTACCCTATCCTCTCCGATTTTGACATTGACACTTCTAGTCTACGTCAAGCCGCATGATATGTTCAAACTCACAGTTATTTTGCTGGAATTATTTTGTTTTTACATTTCCACACAAACTTGTTTGATAAGAAAAGTATTGGTTTTACTAGCCAAAATTTCATGATTCTTTCCGTATGAGAACCACTAAAACTCCACGAAAAACTGCTAATAGCTCATATCTGTGCACTAGGCAATGTGAATGGGTACAAACCCCATCGATCAAGATACTATATATCTAACCCAAAATACTTTGTTCACTATGAAAAATGTGTAAAATTGCGATGTTTGTATGCCGGTGTTCGGTAAAAGCCAAAATTTTCGACATGTCGAGACCAAGCTTCAGATTAATTGAGTAGCTTGGAGCGAAAATGTAATACAGAAAAGTTGCGCGGAAAAATGTCGATGATAAATGAGCCGAAAAGGGATAGCTATATAGTATACTGTATAGCCCAATGCGCCATATGTAATGCTTTTTATGCATAATTGGACGGTTCAATGTAGGGGTAGTGGGGGCGAATCGTTCTACGGGGCGAATAGTTCCACTGGCGATATCTAGCGACTGACAGCAAAATATGTCAAAATGAAATTTATCATAGATCTGTCATATTATTCCGCATATTTCGTTAGTTAGTTGCAAAGTCGGAATATTCTTATACACTTATAATGTATTAGTTGTGAACAGTCAAGCTATTGCATACTAGTAGCGCCTCTAGTGAGTTTCGCAAAGAACTACCGAGAATAACAGCGACAGCATTCAAAACAGATTATGACGAAATATCATTCGTGTCTGTGTGCGTGTGGTTTGTTGTGTCGGTATTGGTGTGCTATGCTGCACTATGTCGGTTTTCGCGCGAGTTACTGAAGGTGGCGGTACTAATTCATTTGTACGAAAACTTCAACATTTATAATGAAGTCATTCCTGATATTGGTTAGTTGAGACTCATAGTTTTCATTCACACACAAACGGGAAAATTGAAAAATGTGTTTTCGGCACATGCTGTTGTGACATTTCGTGACTTTAGGATTTCAAATAACTACAATAAATTTATATTTATATTTTGTCCAAGTGAATGTAAGTGAATTTTACAGCAATCGAGTACTTTCGCGTAAAAATACAAAATTTTGGTTTTTGTACTGAAGTTAAGGTTATATCAAGTTGAAATATTCATAATATTTATAGGATTTTTTATGGACTTTGAATAAAAATATGAAATCAGTTTGGGGTATTAAATGGGGACTTTACCCTCTTTTTGCCTTAAATTGAGATTGTTGGCGTTTTTTCTGCTTTTTTCTATTTGCCCCCACTTCCCCTAACGCTTTCTCGTACGAAAATCAATGAAATATATGCATAATACGTGCGTTCATTGGTCGATTGTCTATGCATATGCGATGCATAAAATGTGCATCTTATCTTCCTAATGTAAATGTCTGGAAGCTATACTATATGCATACTGCGTGTATTGTATGCATATTGTGTGGGTTATATGCATCCAATATAATTATACAAAGCATACTTTTTTGCATCATTTTTGGTTCAGATTATGCATCAAAGACAGTGAAATGGCTAATTGGTAGTACACTATCAAAGAAGATAAAATTAGGCTCGAGCCTAAAGCCTAGGCTTTGGCCTATTTTAAAGTATCGAGCCTATTGCATGGATTGGAGCCAGAAAAAGCCTGAAACATTATTATCGAATAATCAAATCGAATAATTAATTTCTATTGCGTTTTGATGCAAATGAAACATCTGTACAACATGAATCAACACGAAATAGCACCATTACATTGTCATTATATTTCTTTATCCAAAATACGGTAACATATAATACTGATTCAGAGAAAAATAAGCCGAACAGTCAGAATATAATTCATTTTTAGTTATCGATTTTATGAACAGAATCGGATTACTCATTTCTGATAACTCCGTTCAGTAGAATGTGATGTTGACAAAATAAAACTTTGTATTCTTAAACGGCTGACAGCTAGACTGCCAAAATTGGGGATTGGCGATCAACGCGAATATTATTTAGAGTTTATGTTTCTTTTGAAAACAAAGTGTAGACAAAACCAGACGGTTTTGTGCATGCGACACAATTTGAAATAAATAAATTGACTTTGAGATGTATTGGAGGCATTTGCTTATGAACGCATTCAAACTGAATTGGCTTACATCAAAGTAATTTTGCATCACTAGTAGCTTCAATTATCAAGCTTGAAACGCAATGTCTTCCTTTGGTCGAGAATATCGACATTATGATATCGGTCGAAAACAACTTGAAATATTTGGAACGTGAAGAATTTCACGAGAAATATAAAAAAGTGTTGAAGCGAAATCGTGGTTTCACCAAATTGGTGGAAATCAATGATGTGTTGTGTCAGAATAAGCAACCATCTCATATTTACGTCAAAAACTTGACTCTTGATTCACCGTTGTTCAAAGGTCTTTTTCTGATTACAAAAATGTTTTTTCAGACAGACGCAAAAAATTTCTATTTGAAAACCTCAAACATCACATGATTGTGCATTGCAACCGCGACAAATTATAAAAACGTTTCTTTTTATTAAACAAATTGGTTAATTTGGCGTTTTATTCGTTTTTTTTATCGAGCCTATTTACGAGCCTATTTGGTCATTTTTTCCAGCTTTTTTAAGCGCCTAAATTCCATTTTTCCGAGCCTAATTTTATCTATCTCTTTTCATTTGACATTTTTCCGCGCAACTTTTCTGTTTTACATTTTCGCTCCAAACTACTCAATTTTCAGCCATATTCGATGTGACCTTGGGGTACCTCCCCTAAGAAAAACCTCCAAAAAATGGTACATTTGTATGGGAAGTACTACCCAGCTATAGCGTATTGGTTAGCGTGCTAGCGTTGTAAGCGTGGGGACACGGGTTCGAATCGCATAGTGGTAGAAAATCTTTTCTCTTCAAAATGTCATTGGTTTTATCAATGGGATTGTGAATTGAGAGACTACGACCCATGTGGAGGCCTGTGGAATGCTCCGGGAGGCACTTTAAGCCGTGGGATTCCGTGCATTATATACAGAAGATGAGTACAATTAATGCACGTAAGATGGGGCGCCTAACGCTAGGTTGTTGTCTGATATTGGTGAATACATCGGTATATCAGTATCAGAAGCATGTCCCCATCGAAAAACTCAAGAGAAAAAATGGCTCAATGGAATGGATGCGGAGCGTGCCAAATGTTGTATGTGATGTGGCCCACTAGTGACGTGGTGGAGCCCGACCCTGAATGGATTAAAGGCACAGGGCACATCACAACGAATGGGCCCTCCACAATCGACGAATGGTGATGGTGATGGTGCAAAGTATTCACCCAAGCGTGCGTCTCGCAATAGACTGAAAAACAGCCTGAGCGACGAGTATAATACTCCCCGTACTATCCATAAATCCATAAATCCATGGGAAGTACCCGAAAAAAGGGAAGTACTAACTGTAAGGCAAACAAGGCGAAAGTAATGGATTGCTTCAGAAATTGTCCAAGAAA